AAAAAAAGCAGACCCCACGATTTCTCCTGGAGTTAGTTGCCTTTGTACTAATTTGACGGGAGCCCATATGTGGGGAAACCACCAAGGGACCGAGCTGCTTCCTCCATTAACCTAAATAATGATAAATCAATATCTTCTGCAGGAATTTTAGAGGGGAAAATGGAGGCAGAAAATTACGAACTGATTGTCATACTTTTTGCCAGTATTTTCTCTTTCTAAAAAGACTTAAAGGAACTGACTCCCAAGGAAAAGATTCTGGGGTTAGATTGTCCTTGTATATTTGTAGCCACTTTGTCTCTCCCGTGAAGCACGTTTTACTTAGTGAAAGGCATTGAAATAGCAGCAGCAGCAGCAGCAGCAGCAGCAACCTATCTCATTCTTCTGGAGGAAGGCGATCAAACTTCTCCCTCTTGTGCTCAGGCAGCAAATCTTACTTCCTCAGCCAGGCACGGTTTTGGCTCAAATGGAGATTCAGCCTTCAGCAGCCAGCCGGTGCCGCATCCGTGTGTGAGGACAGCGCGCACGAACCTGTGTTTGCAGCTCAGTGCTCCCCAGCCTGAGAGCAGAAAGGCGCCCAGCAGTAGCTGAATTCCCTGGGCATATAAAAGAGCCCGGAAATGCCTCAGGCAGGCTATGCGGCGACTTATTCCTGGATATTGAGCAGAAGGCTGTCTTTGTAACGCCCGAGCTTTTTCCTGCCCCGAGAATAACAAACACAAATGATTTCTTCACTATCGGTAGAGGGGAAAGCTGGAGACCTGCAGCCAGAAGCCTCTGTGCCTAGCATCCTCCCAGTATAGTTGCATTGTGCAGGGAAATCAGATCTTTACAGGTGGAAACAGATGCATACGTGTGTGAATATCTATCTATCTATCTATCTATCTATCTATCTAATCTTCATCACCATCTGGAAGCATGCCCACGTATATTTATATTTGTGGTATAGACGCGTGTAGAGGCTAGTCATTTAGTAGATCGGTTTTTAATTGCATGTCCGTTAGTTAAAATACTTAATCAGTAGACTGAATGGACTAGGAATTCACTTAGGCGATTTTTCTCTCTCTGGAGTAGCTTCCTAAGAGAAGACCTTTATTATTTGTGGTGGCTCTTCTTACACTTAAAACACACCGCAGGTTAAGAGCATGTTCCCCACCTGATTTTAAACCCCCTTCCCCCTCCCCACCTGTCATTTTTTCATGATAAAGGTTGCGAAGGCTCAACTTTTCCTCCTGCATTGCCCTTTGCTTTACCAGCAAGTTTGTAAACACTGGGCTGTGTGGAGGACTGGAGTGCTATGAGTTTATGCGAAGGCATTTCCCCTAATAAATAACTCGTCCGATCTGCACGTGCCAGGACGTCCAGAAGAGCCAGGTTTGCTGAGGCTTCCTAATCTCCCCCGCGCTGAAATTAGCTTCCAAACATAATGATAATCAGAATCCAATGTCCTCCCTTGTCTCCTATTGGACGTTTGCATTTTTGGAAGGCTGAGAAAGGACCCGATCGCTGCAACAGGAAAGGGGAGAGTGGTACTCATAGTGTGTGTGTGTGTGTGTGTGTGTGTGTGTAGAGGCGGGGGGACGGGGGAGATGAAAAATAAACTCCAACATGTGCTGACTCAGCTGCTTCCCTTAACACGGGGTAACCTTTGCAGCTGAAATTCAGCTAAGCAGCAAGCAGGGCAGGGGAGCCTCTGAGGGTCCGTCTCTTTGGGGCTGAGCAGGTCTGGAAGAGGAGACGCAGACTTCGCAAGTAAACCCAATGCAGTTGTTAAAAGTCAGCTAGGAGCCGTGCACGCAGCTGTCTGTCTGCATGTCTCGTATTTTTCTAAGCGGGATAAACGAGTAGAAAACGCTGTGCAGAGGGCTGCTCCTCGCTATTGCCAACCTTGGCTTTGCCTTCCGCAGCAGGATTTTCAGCCAGTCCTTAGGACACATTTAAACTGCTGCTTTTTACTGTTTACAAAGGACAGCCCTGATTTTATTTTTGACAGTAGTATTTCTAATAAACGGCCCCCCCTTTAAAAAAAAATCAAAAACTTTCTTTAATAGCCCTTGTTACAAAAAGGGAAGGCTGTGTTGTGAATCAGCAACCCGTTCCTTCATGGCTGATCTGGAGGGCAGGGCTGCTGGTTTGAATACTTCCAACAGCTTCTGCAATATGCGTGTCTATTCGTGGACACGAATGCACATGCAGCTTCCCCCCCGCCCCCACAAACATGCACACATACGTGTATCGCCCACACACACACGTTGGCATGTATGTATGCTTTGCGTCTCCACATAATACCATATTACATAGACAGAAGGATACACATGCCATATGTGCCTTGTGTGCACCCAGGTATTGCACACATATGTTTATATCCCATCTACATATGCTTCTCATTGAAGAAAATATCTATTCAGAGCGTGTGCAGTGCGTGTATGAACACCTGCCACGCACAGACACACACACACACGTAGAAAACTCAAGCAGGCCGGGATCTTGCAAATGCATCTTATCTTCTCCCTACCTCAGAGCCCTGGTAAAGTTTCCCTAGCTCTAGGCACTAGATAGTTGTGCACCCTATAAACTTGCTCGGAAACTTAGACGCTTTGTAGCTTTATAATGCCACTCCTTGCGGGAGGGAACGGAGTGCCAGTTGCTTGGCATGGTGCACCCCCTCCCCGCTACCCAGCCGGAGTGGACGGAGTGAGTGTCTCTGGCTCCCTCTGCCCGGCACAAGGGCCGGCCGTGGCCCTGCCAGCCCCGTGCAGCCTGTGCCCGGGCATTTCCTAAAAGGGACCTCGCAGATCATCGGGTCCAGCCCCCGATCGGGTCCTGGCAGATCATCGGGACCTCGCAGATCATCGGGTCCAAGCCCCCATGTGCTCGGGGGTCGGTGGGTAGAGACAGTCCGAGTTTTGTACAGCCGGGTGTTTGCATGGAGAGCGTCTACCCTCCCCCCCGGGCACAGACCCCGGGCAAGTGAGGGCAGCTCCACGTCCCCTTCTCCCCCCGCACTCCCTTCCCGTCCCACCCGCGTCTCCAGCCAGAAGCCGCTCAGCGCCGCGAAACCTCCTTGCCCTCGTCCGCGGGGCGTTTCCTGGGGCCGTGCCCGCGCCGCCCTCCACGCCCGGGAGCCCCGGCAGCTGTGGGTGCGACCGGCCCTGGGGAGCCGAGCCCGGCGGGGCAGGGCAGGGACGCAGGTAGGACCCGGCCCCGGCAGCAGTGGCGCTCCGGCTCGGCCGCGCGCAGGGTCCCTCCGGGCTCCTTTGTTTCATTTCCCTCCTGGCTTTCGGGCACCACGGGAGAGCTGGGGCCGCGCCGGGTCGGCTTTGTGGGCATCTTTCCAGGCTTCCCCCAGCCCCACTCGTGCGCGGTGGAGGCGAGGACGTTTCCAACCTCCCTGCCTTCGCCACCCGAGCTGCTTCTCCAGGGCAGCTCGAGGGCTCTGCAGTTTTTGCAGTCGTGGCTTGGTGTCAGTCCTTGGCGAAGGAATCCCAGGGCTCCTTTATTTCCACGTTAGGGAATGATACACAACAAGGGTGTCCCTCCCCTCCCGCCCCGGGGCCTTAAAAGAATTTCAGCTTCAGACCAGCTAGGATAAATCTGCCAATGTTGGGCTGCGTTCATCTGGCAAATGCAGCAAAAAGTGCTCCTTGATATGGCCTAAATCAGCTTCGTTTTATGTAGCAGAAGCACCTTGAACTTGAAGCTTCTTCTCAGCACTCTTCTGCTGAGGAAAAAAAAATAGAGTCACTTCGAAAACTGACAAGGAACTTCAGTGAGAGGCTGCTCTTCCCAGGCTTAAAATAGCTTTAGCAATCAAATATTTTATGTGGGCTCTTATGTGTCCTGACAGTTTTAGAAGGGGTTTACAAAGTTTGACAGCCATCTATCATTGGATTGAAATAAAAATAGGTTTATGTAACTGGTTTGGGTTTTTTTTTGGGGGGGGGGGAGGGTTGTTTTTTTCCCCCCACTGAGGCTTCTGACTTGTCAACTTATTTTGTTTATTTCAAGGCCTCTATAAATGGAGAGATTTTCCTTATTATTTTTGTTCCCATGTTGGCAAGGATGCTGGCTACTGCTACTGCTTGTTTTCAATTCCACCACTCTATAATATAAGTAGTTTGGATGATTAACAGCTTGAGGGTTAATTATATTTTCTCACTGACTACATGGGATTATTACATGTTCATTGGTTCTACACAGTTTAGCTACTATTCATCTAACTGGTTCCCATTTCACACCAGATATATGATTCACCTTGCTAAAGGTGAACAGTGCAAATCTGCTAGAAAAGGAATAATATATTGGGCTCGGCTAAGCGTTCACATTTCATTTGTGGGATCATAATATCTGGAGAGGCTGCTGTAAATTATAACAGCAAAAATCATTCCCTTCTTTTTCTCTTGATTAAATTAGGCATTAAGCAGTGATTTGGAAAAAAAATAAAAGGTATTTAAATTCAGATTAGAGCATTTTTCTTATTAAATAAAACCACTTTTATAAGGAAAATTGTCCCAGCCTTATTTTTCATCAGCGCCCCTTTTCTAGCCAGAATAAAAGTCACCTCTTTGTCATGCAGTTGCATAGTCTCCCCAGGCAGTTCTTGTTCATGTAGAGTCTTCCCTTGGTTTCAGTAGGAATATTCTTAGATTACTGCAGGTTTGGGCCTAAAACGTGATTGGGAAAGGATTTCGCAAACCAGGGGCCTGATTCGGATGTCACTTAGATTTGGATGGGTTCCATTTATAGTCTGAGGAATCACAGCAGCATGAAAATGCTGTGCAAACAGAATCGGGCCTCAGCTTTGTTGATCCTTCTTCCTTTTTCATCAGCAAGCAGTAATCATCAGTCTGAAAATGTTTAAATTGTTCTTGAGGGGCAAAGGAGTTTATTGGTGAAAGAGGGTTCTGTGGCTCAGCAGGGTTGCAGTGGAAAAGTTCCTTCCAAATATCACAAAGATGAATTTTTTCCCCCCCGCTTGTGTTTTTTTTTCCCATGTGTTTCAGGACATGGAGGAGTGAATCAGTTAGGGGGTGTTTTTGTGAATGGTCGTCCACTTCCTGATGTTGTGCGCCAGAGGATCGTGGAACTTGCCCATCAAGGTGTCAGACCGTGTGACATTTCGAGGCAGCTACGGGTCAGCCATGGTTGTGTCAGCAAAATTCTTGGCAGGTAAAGGGAGAACAACAAATCATTTTGTGTCTGTAAAGAAAAATATCAAGCACTGTCCCTTAATCAAAGTCTATAAAATATGAGAGCAATCAAATGAAGATGGTAGAATTTTTATTAAATGGCTCAGAATGACAAGAGTTTACTTAGAACTGACTGGTTGCAATTTTACGTGTCTAATATGGGAAACACAAGTGACTATTTATGTACTTAGCTCACTCAAAATTTCTTGGGAGTAATTCTAAAGAAGTGATGTGGAGGATATCACATGTGGTATGTATCCTGCACCTGCCTGTATTGAACAAATAGATAAATCTGTGGATCATTTGCAGTAAAATGAAAAACCCAGAAGTTATGAATCACTCGACAAAACTACTTCTTTTGTTTTCTAAGGAATATTTATTCTTGCATATAATATTACTACCTAAATGGCCAAGGACAGTTGTCAGTCGGCATGTTCATTTACATTTTCTCTTTCTGAATTTGGTCCCAATAATTTCATTTGGAGGCTTGTTTTATTTTTGTAATAAAATGTATTCCTGATTGGAGCATGGACTACATGAAATAATTTTTCCCACTCTTAATTCTTATACTCTGAAAGGTACCAGTTATTCAGGAGGAAGATGCTCAAAAGCAGCATAGCAATATAATCAATTAAAAATTATCTGTCCCTTTAGAATATTTTTATTAACTTGATTTATTTTTGAGAAAAACATCATACCTTTTTAATAGCTTGTAAACAAGTATGAATATTTTTTTGTAATTATGATTGATTTTAAATGCTCCAGAGTGGTAGATATGTTATACGCTTTGAACTTCCAGGCTGGCAAATTCATTTTTAATTGCCTTCTATTTTCTTTTCTTTATATCTTAGAAAAGTTTTTAAAGTGTTTACCAAGAATTAACAATTACATTTTTTTTTTCATCCCATTGGTATTAGCAGCATTTTGACTTTCACTTCCCCCCACCAGTTTTAACTGAGCTTTTTTGATTGGTCATACAGATAGTCAGAGGAAACATTTATGTGGCAAGGCACAGAGAATCTCACCCTAAATTAACTGCAGTAGTAATCTCATAGTGACAAACATAGTACTCAGAGAGGAAAAAAAAAGGCAAAATTATACATCTCAGAAAATTCAGCCATCTCTCCCTTTTTTCATGAAACCCCATTCTTTCTGGTCATCTATATTTAAATTCTTCTACACAGTCCTATTCAGTGGACTGCTAGAAAGACTGAGGAGACAGTCTGAAGGTACATGGAGGATCTCTGAATACTAGCGGGTCTGCTTGTTCTCCCACAAGCATTAATTTTATATGCATGTAGCTCCAATAGAAATTCAGTGAAGAGATTCCTGAATTTACATGGGTATGTATGTGGAAAGACACTAACTACTTTTTTTCTTAGAGAGAGAGTGAGCTTTTTCATGTATTTTATTTTCTGCCTATCAAAGGCTACTTCATTCTGTTTGACCTTTGAATCTGCTCTGAGTGCAGGTCCTTAAACCTAGTCTAAATGGAAATAGTCCTAATTGTGGTACCTCAGCATTCTGGCATATTTTACTAACAATTTCTATTAGTACCAGTGTAAAGCTAATAAACAGGAAAGTCATTTACCTACTAGTGAAATGTCCAGCAGTTTTAGTGTTTCAGATTTGAATAGATTTGTCATTAGATATATTTGCATTATGGAGCTAAGAGTGCAGCTCTGGAGCTTTGTTATTTAAGTTGTCAACAATAAATTGGAATTTCATAGCTCATTATTTTCATAACTAATAATTACAGTGGGTAAAATGTCACTGTAATTGGAGCTGCGTGTGGGAAAAAAATGAACACACGTTAAATCATTTCATTTTGAATTTTGGAATTGAAATTGATGAATCCATGGGCTTTTTTTATAGAACCTTAGCAAAAATAAAGACCATTGGGAGAGATGAATATGAGCATTTGGAGTAAAAACCTGGACTGTTGCAGAACAAAAACAAACCTTTGCGGATAGCTCACAAAGCCTTGCAACAGAATTGCCCGCCCTTCACCCATATGAGGACCGTACCGGCGGTTTTTCAGGGAGCTCAAGGACTATCTCCAATTTGCATAAAATCAAACAGATTGCAGCCACACTCATCTTTAACATGGAGTTGAGGCCAGAAGGCTCAGATCAAGAGGGAGCATTGCATTCTGGGACCTGTAGTCTCCATGGACCTCACCCCAGGCCAAACAGTGGCACTCAGGTGGGGAGGGAACATGGTTGAATTCTGCTAGCTTGTGGTTTGGATGGTGGCTTTACAGGGAAATCAAGATTAAATTACTATGATGTTGATTCTGTTAGGTCCTCATCTTGCACCCTTCAAAATCAATGGTAATCTTGCTGTTGATTTCTGTTGATTTCAAATTAGGCACATAGGCAGACTTTTAAAGGCATTTACATGATATACTGCTCACCATTGCAATATTCAGTGCACTCATTTGACTGTGAGTCTTGTAAATGCCTAAGTAATTTTTTAAAATATGCTGAAGTCAGATAGGCCTTGCAATGTGGAGTGGAGTAACACTAAAATGTTTTTTAAATTTGAGGCCTTAACCTTCAATCCTAAGTCCTCAAAAAGGCAGTGTCATTAACCACCAGCAGCAGCTTTGGTAATACAGGGTTCTGGTAGTCTCTGCAGTCCAAAATGCATCACCAAAGAGATTTGTCAGTGGCATATTTTCCTGCTGCGTAGAATTTCTAGAGCTGGAAAGAACACTAAACAAAGATCAACAACCAGCAATCAAAACACACACACACAAACACACACACACATGGGGAGGGGAGCAGGGGGGCCATAGGTGGACAAAGAAATACCAGTAACATTGATTTTTGATTTGCCCCATGAAAACTGTGAACAGTTACCTGTACAGCACGAAGTATACCAGAGCCTGGTTCTGTAGCATTTATTCACATGAGGGATCACACAGGAGAGGTTACAGGGTCAGGGTGAATTGTAATTTTTTCATAAGCATGGTTTTGTTAGATTTGGTGTACAATCATGTCCTTGCCATTAGTTTTTTATGCACTCAAGAAAATGGTCCAGGAAAGGAGCAAACTTTTACTTCCTACTCAAAGATTCATTAGGCTTAGCCTAGAGTAGGCAAAAGGGTTAACCCACTGCAAATGCTTATCACCTTCCATTACTAGTATTTCTCCGATGAGTCCATAGAGACAGAAGTGGAACAGACCATTTGTTCCAAGAGCTTGTGAAAACAGGCACAAACATCATCATGTCACTCCCAGGAAAGGGATTTTAGGAGAGCAAAGCACTGCAGGAAGATAAAAATCCTGTAACACAGTTGAAATGTGATGAATGTGGCTGTCCTGGGGATGAAGCCTGACTTTGGTGTCCATGTCCAGCATACCCTAGAGATGTTTGTGGGGATGGGTTTTTTGTTTCTTGCATGCAGCATGGAGGCCAAATTGGTGCAGTGAAGACACATTCATTGCACAGGTTTATGTAGTTAGCTGGTGGTTTCTTATAAAGTATAGGGTTTATCATGGTCAGAACACAGATTTAGGTTAGGAGAGGTAATGCAGCTGTCAGGATCTCTCTTTTCCAAATGCAGGTGAAATCAGCAGGCATGCTGGTTGTAGAACTTTGCAAGAGGAGGTCTGATGGGGAAGCAAGTACTAGCTCCTTTTGTGGTTAGTGCAGGGTTTATGTTTATCTCTTAGAAAATTTACCATGTGCATGGCACCACTGAACAAACAGGGCTATGCCATAATTCATACAATGCCCTTGATGCTTGGTACTCATAGAGGTTTTGGGGAAGATCTTTTGCTGAATTTCCTCCTAGCCCTTGATGGACAGGACAGCTGTTTTTAGCAATATTTTCAAGCTTTTGTTTATTAAAAAATATTTAAAAAAAAGTTTAAGCCAGACCTCCAGCTGGAATGGATTCTTTTCTCTCCATTGAAGGCAGTTTGAGTTACACCAGTGGAAAAGCCACTAAACAGCCCAAGCCTACCACTCTTGGTGATAATTTTTTTAATCACATGAGTAATCACACACACTGACATCAGTACAGCTACTACTGTGAGTAAGGACTGTGCACGTGTAAAAGGGTTATGGCATCAGATTGTATCATTTAGAGTGACTTCCCCCACAGTGTCCTCTTTTTCCGAGAAGAGTCTTACATGAAAATATTTGTTTCCCATAAAAAATTGGTAATTGAAACCATAACTCCCATAAAACTGAATCCAACAAAATGTCACACTGGCATATTTACTTGGAATGTGCTCTGCAAATACTTTTCATGGTAGTAACGTACCTGGCCTTCATTTGGCTGTAAAAAGATGCCAAGCCATTTACATTAATGAAGGTGAATTTCCCTAGAAACAGTAATTTACTACAAAAGATTTCACTGCAAAAACAGTCTTCAGTGTGATTTGTTTCTATTATTGCCACTGTGTCTGATTAATAACACATATTTCCAGTTAATTTTGGGTCCCAGCATGTCCTTTAATCTTGCATTGTTTCTATTGCCTTGCTATTATGGAAAAAATATATATTCTATAGTGGGGCCCAATTCCAATTACTATAAATTAATCTGTTAGGTGATAAAGTGCTACAAAGCCAGGATGTGTGAGTAAAAATGCAGATTTATCTCAGAATGTACTGGAGATCTATTACACTACAGTTGGGCATTCTCTAAATCTCATAACTTGTTTCTTGCCAGTTCTTGATAACTTATGCTCTGCTTTGGATTCTGTGCCAGGTACTATGAAACCGGGAGTATTAAGCCTGGAGTGATTGGAGGATCAAAACCAAAGGTCGCCACACCCAAAGTTGTCGAAAAAATCGCAGAGTATAAACGCCAAAATCCCACCATGTTTGCCTGGGAGATCAGGGATAGACTTCTAGCCGAGCGAGTGTGTGACAACGACACCGTGCCCAGCGTCAGTTCGATTAACAGGTAGAGATTTGGACAGCGCCAGAAAGGTGCTGTCGTAGTTCAACTCTATGCCATCTCCTTCTTGGTACATGAAACTGTTTTCTTATGGTCCTTTTCAAGCCACTTAGTATGTGGATGACTTTGGTGCCCAGGAAACCCAGAGGCTGAGTACAGCTGTGAGCACAGGGTACATTGTGAGCAGTTGCTATCACCAAGCGGGTTTCACCAGGCAGCTTTCTTCCCCACTCCTCCACTTCAGCTCAGTTGCTGTTCAAGTCCCATGCTTGTTTGAACCAAGGAAGTTTAAAGTGTTGGGTTTGGCTTTTGCAGAGATTTTATAAAATGAACATTCCTTGGGGTTAAAGCAGAGGCAACCAGTGCTTTAGGCTCCTGTTGATCTAAAGAGAGGTTTGAACCAGATTCGTAAGGGGCAACAATGGGAATGAATGTGGCCTGGTGGATAGAGGAGTAGCCTTGAGTCACTGCTCTGGTTCCTTTCCTAACTCTGTCCCTGGCTCTGTGACACCAAGTCCAGATTCACAGAAATGGCTCATGAGTCAGGCTGGTGGGACATGATTTTGTAATATGTGTAAGCCTCAGTTGGCCCACATGTAAAATAAGTATAGTAAAAGTCCCCACCCAGAGAGATATTTTGAGCCTGAGTTCATTTTGTAAAGTGTTTGAGAAATTTCACTTGCTGGGTGCTGCTGTAGGGCCTGATCCTTTGCTGCAGAAGTCTTATTATTGATTTTCCAAGGCATAAGATTGGGCCCTGTGAGAGGTACAACATTATGTTATTTTTTTAGTTCACCTCTGAATTCCATCTTAACCAAGTTATTTAAAGAACCAACATTCAGTCCCTTGATGGATGAGATATAAGTTCAGACCAGAGATAAAAACATGTCACAACAGCTTTGGTAAACACTGAATAAAATGTTATATTATGTCTCCAAGTCTCAAAAACCAGTAACAAGTATTTAACATAATTGATGCAAAGCCATTAGACATTCTCCTGTATGCTACTTGGTGCAGAACATCCCTCCATTTTCTGTCAGCAGTATTCTGTACAGAGACCTTTTCAGAGACTAGAGTATGTGGTATCACAGTAAAATCCTTTTACATTAAAAAATGGCTACAAAGGCTGTGTGGTGCCACAAGCCCTTTCTTTGTATGGTTTTAAAATTCAAGATGTTTTTCCTGCAATTTCATCCAAATCCTCTGAACATAGCTAACTGAACTGCACAGAAGGTCATGTAGTGAATAGGTGAAGTATTACTTTCTGTGTGCTTTGTGATCCCCACCAGCATGCGCTTGTGGAATTGCTATTTTAATATCAGTAATACTTTACATGGTTTTTAGAAATACCTGGTAGCCTTACTTTGCCTAACACAATGTTATGTTACAGCGTCACCTGGATAAATGCAAAGACAGTGCAGGCCATTCAGAGTGTTTAGCACTCTCCACAGTTTCCTAATTGGAAAAAAATTCCAAGATTATTCAATAGCATTTACAGAGTTACAGTCTTTGGCAAAAAACCCCAGAAGAGATTTGTTTGAGAAGCACAGTGGAAACAGGGGCCAGATTCTGTTGTACCCATTGGGCATCTAAATGGACTTAGTGCCTAAGTTTGATTTGATTCCACCAAGTTCAAGTCCTGAAAATCCATGAATGCACCTAATTTTGTGACACACTGGGCACGTCTACACATGTGCTTTAATGAGCAGTAGGCTATTTTGCTGTGCATTAAAGTGTCATGTAAAAAAACTGCAATTATGCTAACATGCAGTAAAATAGGCTACTGTGCATTAAGTGTCACTTAAAAATCATGCGCATTCATTACTGCACATTAAGGCAGCCTGATCTGCATTTCTTTAGTGCCTCACTTTGGAGGTACTAAATTTAATGCGCATTAGAAAAAGCACCTTAACACACATGTAAATGGACTCATTGTCATCTTACCCTTACCACTGAGTCACAAAAACAGTGAGAAAGAGGAGGACCTTTTGTATTAACTGTTTTTTTAGGGTCTCGGGCAGGGTAAAATAGAATCAGACTTAGTCCATTTATGTACCTTAATAGGTGGAATAGAATCTGGCCCTAGGAGTTGAAAGAAAAACTTAATATTTATTGTTCTTGAAAAACTAAGGGTTGAACTCCATTCCCAGTGATACGAATGTAAGTTTTGCCATTATCTTCAATAGGGAGCACTACTGCTATTACCTTTATTATTAGCACTAGTATTATTGCTTTTATTATTATGCTGAGGGCCTCACTTTGCCAAGCTATAGCCAAATGTCTGACAGGCAGTCCCTGCTATAAAGAGTTTAAATCTAACTGGGTGCATTAGTGAGATGCTACATCCCTGTAGCAACAAGTTACGACAATGTATCTTGTCAATACAGTGATGTAGCGTCAGTGGGCACTAACTGTGATGCCACCACTACTGCACAGTAGGGTCAAAAACAACCCATGCACCTCCAGGACTGCACAATACCAACTGCGCAGTCAGCAGCACGTGTAGATGCACCTACTATGTCCTGCACGTGTTTTAGTCCAGTTTATATGTTCCTCTTCTGTTGCTCTCTCTTCAATCCCTGAATATTTCCATGGATAATAATAGTGTCGAAAAATAGCCAGTCCATTAAAAAAAATCTGAAAATTGTAAAGCAACATCTTTTCTTACTAGAAATCTCATTCTTTTTCCCTGATTTGCAGCTCTAGCAAAGATTCTTCTGTTATTTGTTACTTTGAAATGTATGTCATCTGTTTGAATCAGTTTGCTTTATATGAAGAATCAGATCTGTCACCTGATGACTACATTTTGCATTTCAGGACTCATGCCTACATGTAAGACCCCCATATAGGGACAAACTTAGAATTTATTCCATGTACTTTTGGCCCTAGTCCTGCAGGTCATCATTACTCAGAAATCCACTCAGTAGGACTTTTTTAATAAAATAAAAGTTAATCAAGTGCTTAAAGACACTGCTGTGTTGGGGCAATAGTGTCTAATCTTGAACACTTGCTCATAAGAAGTCCTTCAGAAGTTACTGGTATGTCTGGTGGAATTAAGAATGATTCTGAGTCAGGCCCTCTGCAAGCAGAAATGTTCAGTCAGAGGAAGGTTTGAATGCCCCAAGAAAGGACTTTTTAGGTTGGACATCTGGAATTCCATTGCATGTGACATGTTTTACAGTAGTTACCAACCTGAGGTCTGGTACGGGAAAGGAAGGGATGGTACATATACAAAGAATTTTTCTATATTTCCAGTTTCACCATTTTTTTTACCTTTAAGTGTTATTCTTGAGACTGTTTTTTCCCTATAGCCCTTGGTAAGGGATGATTCCCATTTTGCTAGAAAGCCAAACTATAAAAGCAAATGATTAAACTCACCAAATGGATAGAACAACATGACACAGGAGCAGAGTAGGGTAGGAGTGTCCAGTACAGTGCCCAGTACCTGAGCTAGACTCCTGTTTGGGGTGACTTCCCTGCTGATTTAACGATGCTCAGGAATCTCTGTGCTGTACCACAGTATACAAATATCCAGCACACACTTCCCCATCCTATGTAGTATGATCCAGATGCATGTGCACACTATGTGTATGTTACACTATATGTAACAATTTCAAAAGTGTCTAAGTGACTTAAGAGCCTAGTCTCATTTTTACAAGTGACTTTGGCACCGAGGTTAGATTTTTAAGTTGTTTAGGCACCGAAAGACAAAGAAGGGTGCCTCTTGAGAATATCAAAGAAACCTAAGTCCATCTCCTCAGGGGTATTTAAATGTTTAATTCCTATTGCTTTTCCTAATGGTGAGGGTCCTGGGTGCCTTGGAAAAGCAACGAGCTGCCTTTCTACATCTGTGGGCAACTAAATACTTTACAAATTTGGCCTTTAGGAGCTGGAATCCCACTGACTGGGGGCAATGATGCTTGGGCTCCCAAACATTGAAATCACTTTTTAATGAGGGAGTTAGGTTTATGGATGCTTTGAAAATATTTCCGATTCACTGTTGGCCTTGGACCCTGTCAGAAGCTGCCCCATAGGGTCTGGCATGGTGTGAGCTAACTCTGGACTACCCAGTACAGTACAGTGACTACCCAGCTGGTCTTTGGGGCAAGTGGAGGAGAGTTGTAACATACCACATCTTCCTGCCTCATGCAGAGGAGGCTGGGGACAGAGGAGCAAGCCCAGTCCAGCTTCTGTGGCAGCTACTACTCTGAGGAGATCTGACTGAGAGTACATCCCATACAGGTAGCAGCCTTTGGGTGGCAGATTTGAGCATAGTCTCCTTGAATATTAATAGAGCATTACTATTAATTAATGATATTAATTAATATTAATTATACCATACTCCTTCTAAATAGAATCAAGTCCATATGATTACGGCTTAATTAATCACGATTATTAGCTCCATTCAAATAGGCTGCAAACATCCCCGCTGTTTCAAGTGCTTGGGTGCCCTGTTCCTCCTGAAATGAAGATATTTACATGCAGGAAGCTCTAGAATGCTCATTTTGACAACTGGAGCACCTCAAATAAAGTTTTTCCCAGCTTCAGTCCTATATGTCTGGGTCCTATTTCAGGGACTTAAACATACTTGACACACACATCAGTGACAAAGCTCTTGGTGACTTCTGTGTTGTAGAACTGGGCTACCACTCCTGCCTCTTAGATCTAAGACCCAGAGCCACGGCTTTGTTCAGAAGCCCAAGTCCAAGGGCAGGATGGGAGAGAGAGAGAGAGAAAGGCAGGCTCTATCTCAGGAATTAGTTGGTGACACCATCTGTTTTCACCTAGCAGGCAAATTCACGGAGGCAGCATAGTTATGTGGATAACCTGCAGGTGGGGGCTCCAGAGATGTGGATTTTAGCCTTGGTTTTGCCACTGACTGGTGTGAGTGACCTTGGGCAAAGCAATTCCCCACCCCATAAGGTAGTTGATGATGCTGACTGCCTTGGTGAAATGCTTGGGGACCTATAGTTGAAAAGCAGTATAAAAGAATGGGACCCTTTTTGTGTTTGCTGCTGAATTTTGGATAAGTAATAGAAAGACTCTAGCAGGAGCAGAAAAAAATTAGCACAGAGTTGATTTGACATAAAAGCAGGGTTGACTGAAAGATAAACAGTTGGCTGGGAATAATTTTTAGGCTTCTTTTTCCTCAAACAAATGCAGAACCACACTATAACTTTACACAGTTGTTTCAGGAATAAAGTTTTGGCATTTTTTTGTGAACATCTCAATGTGCAAAAAAAAAAAGGTGGGGGTATAGGAAGGCACTGGAAATCTAGCTTGTTAAATAGCCACAGGGGAAATCACTACCCCAGCATTCTGTCAGAACTGGACATAAACCATACTCACATACTATGAGAAGCATGTCAGTGAACTATATAATGTTTTAGTAAAGACCACTCAACAGTCAGTATAAGGGCTCACTCTTCTTTCCATTGAGGATAATGGCAAAATATACATTTACACCACTGGGAGAAGTTTCAAACCACGTATTTTCTCATTAACAATACATTGTCACTGGAGTTTTTGACATAACATTTCTGTTGCCTTTCTGGATAATCCCCTCCAGTAAGACAGCACTCACACTTTCTTTTATAGTTCTTCATCTTTCTACATCACATGCAGGGCTGGAAAAGATTCTGCTTTAGTGCAATCTGGGAGTAACTCTTTTAACATAGGGAGTTACTCCTGCTGCTCAGTTAGGAAAAAGAGAGCAGAAGCTGATCTGTAGTCCCCACTTATGCCAATGTCATCACTGCATGTTGACGATTTGCATTGGTCCAAGGATTTTTGGGTTGAATGTCACATGTCATTTGGTGTACAGTTTTCAAAAGTGCCTGAGGTCCAGATCCTCAAAGCTATTTAGGTGCATAAAGTCCTTTTTCAACGGGAGTTAGGTTATCTGAATAAGAGTTAGATGCCTAAATGCCTATGTGGGCCTAAGCAATTTAGAAAAGCTCAATATTATAAAGTGACCCAGGGCCAGAAGTTTTAAGGCATTTAGCTGCTAAAGTGGCAGATAGACAGTTAGTGGGATTGTCAAAAGTGCTTACCTGCCTGACTTCCACTGATTTCACATGGAATCAGTGGGAATTAGGCATCTAAAGGCCTTAGGAAATCTGGGCTTTTAGCACTTCTGAAAATTTACCCAGAGGTTTACCTGCCCACCCGCCCTTCTTTTTCTCTGGTTTGATGTAATAATCCAAGGAAATGATGTTTTATTTCTGAGCAAAGTATCCCGAATTGACAGAATAATGTCTGATGCCCTGTCCCCATGCAATGGTGTTATTTACCTACAGTTTCTACAGTGTTCATGCTTAGCAGTAAGTAGCCATTTGTTTCTTTATAACTGCATGCAGGATCATACGGACCAAGGTACAGCAGCCGCCTAACCAGCAAGTCCCAGCCTCTAGTCACAGCATAGGTAAGGAAAACTTTTTCTATACTGAAAATAATATAATAGCATACGAATATTCTAAAGAACTTTTAATCATTCTTATGGACAGATAATTCTGCATAAAACACTTCAGCACACGTACTAATGCGCCTTCTTTGTCATTCTCCAAGGGCTGAACATGGTAAATGAATTTTATAAATACTGCTAAAAGGTTTTGAATTTTACTGATTATTATGATAAATAGCTTTCACCATGAGACAGAAAATTGAAATCTAAACCAAAAAACCCTACTAATGGGGGTCTATAGAATGTCAGATAATTAAAGTAATAAATCAAGAAAGGGATACTTATTCATAACATTTTCTGCATCATTAGTCAGTAAGTAGTTTTGAATGTGTTTTTTCTTTTATCAACCATCCCTTCCATAATCCTTTGTGGACCTGCAGTCTTGAGTGAAGAGGTAGCAAAACTTTCCAAACTTTCTCTGCCTATTCTTCCCTGCTCCTCCCCAATTCAGATGCAGACCATCAGTATTCAGCCAAGAGTGATGTGCCCTGCTTGGGTTTTGATGGAACACGCATCTGGAGAGAGTTACCCGATCAGCATACATACTCATTTTGTCTATGAAGCCTATGGTTTCAGTCCACTTTCTCTTCAATGAAGATGTGAGATCTCTCTAAATGCTGTCCTAGACAGCTGCTTGTATGCTGTTTGTGCTTTCTTTATACACATTTTATCCAAATGGTGAGGTGGAACATTCCTCAAATAAAATATGTTTTTTTGCAAGCACAGTTTATGGAAGGCAAAGCTGGACATTATTTACTCCACTTGAACCAGAACTTTGGTTCTCCTGTCCATACATTTCAGAAAGTGAAATTTGTATTGGATTTCTTAGTAGATAGGTGTTCCATGGAAGTTTCCTCAATTGAAAGCCAGGGAAGATGGTTGGGTCATGAGGGCATGAGAACAGTGTTCAGGAGGTGTGAATTCTGTCCTCAGCTTTTTCCAGAAGAGTTTGGGAATTTTACTAGGTCATTATTGAAACACCCCTATTTATGGCCCCTTCTTCCACAAATATTCGCTGGGAGGTAAGGTACTACTTAGTGTGAGGGAAGATGACACAATTGGGACATTAATTAGTTCATGCGTTAGTGACCTTCTCTGTGAAATGGGGATAATACATATTCATTTGAGGAGGTTGGGCAACTGAACTGAGTACTTGGGAACTGCTTTGAGATAGCAAATGCCCAGTCTGATTCTTACAGCTGTATGAACCAAGCCAAAACCAATTATCCTCTGCCTGAATGTCTTGAACCTTTTTACCTAGAAATGCCTATGAGATCCTCAGCAAGTAGTCTGAATGATAGTTTAAGGACAGATTCTGCTGCCATTAAAATCAATGGTGCAACTCCCACTGCCTTCAGAGGACTTAGCATTTATTTATGTATGGGCAAATCCTAACTGCAATTTGCTCTGCCCATGACTGAATCCAAATGGCTCACCTTGATGCTACTGCTGCAGTGTATAAGTGGGCTGCTGATGCTGGACTCCCCTTGCCATAATGATGCAAGTGTTAGTTGCTATGAAATGGCAATGTGTTAGCCCATCCCTTTCCCCATCCACTGCCACATTATTCTGGGCTCTTGGCCTGATGCTGCAGAGGATATGTGTCTGTTCAGATCATCCCTGACACCATGGAGTGACTGGTAGTCAGTTGTAGAGAACCTTAGCGTGCACATGGGCATAGTAACAATAACAATGACAATCCTGGCTGGCAGCTCTAAATTTACATAACTAAATAATGTTATTATTTATCTCCCCTCCAAGATAGCACCAGTGTTGCAGTTGCTTTGCAGTTTCGGTTCTAACCAAGGAAAACTACTTCCACTTACATCCCATACAGCTTCTGGGTGTGCCAGCCTTACCTGGAGTATGCTGTTTGCTTCTGCCCCTTCTGGCTTGTGGCGTGTAGCAGGTCTCCTTGTTACCCTACCTCTAGGTGGTCTTTCAGTCATTGGAGACATGGAGCTTGGGTGCAACTTGTTTCTGCCTACAGAATCCAGATAGTACATTGACTAGTTCTCTTCACACTCCTGTGCAGTATGTAAATATGGCTGAAAAGGCTGTGGCAGACAGATTAAGTGATAAACCCAAGATTGCAGCTGGAGTTTGTATTGGAACGTGAATTCGAATTCCTGGCCCTGTCACTAACTCCCTCTGTATCCTTGGTCAAGTCACTTAACTCTCATGTCTCAGGTTCCTGAGGAGGTATACTAATATTTATTTTGTGCTTCATAGGAGTTGTTTTATAAGCTAATTTATTTAGATTTGATGATGTAAAGTGCCTTATACAAGGGCTAAACATTAGATAATATTCAGGGTATATCCCATTCACCTTTTAAAGCTGAAAACTGATAATTAAACACCTAGATAATATAGTTTTGTCTTGAGTAATCATCCTCAAAAGGTTTCTGTGGTAGGAAGGTAGACTTATATTTTCATCATATTTAACATTCTGTATCGTGTTGGGGAAAGACCCTTCTTCCTTTGCTGCAGGCATTGAAGGATCAGGATGTTTAATACCAAAGATACTAGGATGGTTGGGTTGCCAACACTGCCATTCCACCAGTCAAAACACAGCAGCCTTGGGCTCTGACTTAAGGTTAACTCCATATTGCATTAATTTTTTAATTACTGGTACTGGCTTCCAACATGGTGTTATATTTTAATTTCACCCAGAATGAGCACACTTTAAAAAGATAAACTCTGGACAAACCATAGTGTGCACCCTTGTGAGATGCACATAAAAACTGTTTGAATGACATCATAACCAGGCTTCCAAAGCAGCAGCGTGCAGTCAGGATGAACTCTGTGCTGCTTCTGTTTTTATTATTATTGTTGTGCCTAGGAGCCCTAGTCCTGGACCAGCTAGGCACTGTACAAAAACTGAACAAAAAAATAGTTCCTGCCCCAAAGCGCTGATAACCTAAGTATAAGACAAAGACAATGGAAGGAAGAGTACAAGGAAGCAATGAGACAGTATTGGTTGCCATGGTGGACAATGGAGTCAGCCTGACCACTGTTGCCAGTTCTCATGATTTTATCATGACTCTCGTCTCATTTGGTCTCTTTACCTGTTTTGTTTTGTTTTAAAAACTTTTTTTAAAGCCCCAGATGATTACTGAATAAATTATAGTATATAAAATATAGTGCTTGTATACATGTTGGACACCCCAAGACATGCATTTTAGAAGCCTCTTCTCTTCTATCCGATATTTGTGTTAAATATTATTTAACCACCCAAACCCTTATTTGGGTGGTTAAATAATATTTATATGCTCCTCCGGACAAATGGCCTAACCCAATATTCTCCCATATGTAAAACAGGATATAAATTTAAGAATTAAAGATGTCACCGTGTAGACAGATATACAGGCAATGAAATTTTCTTAAACTTCCCTGTTTTAAATTAATAAAGCACTCCTTTATTCTAGAACAGTGGTTCTCAACCTTTTTGGATGTTAGGTACCTCACCCTAGACTCAAAGCACCCATCATTAGACTCGAGGCACCTCTCTATAACTTTTGTGAATTGAGTGACACCCGATTTGAAAAAAAACTAATGTATATATTACAGTGCTTAGCTCCTTGCAGAGAGGCTGGGCAGTGGGGATGGGAGATTGGCCAGGTAGAGACAAGCCCGAGCCTGCACTTATCTATTTATCTCTTCACACCTTGGGACACTTTTCATAGGATCTCACTGCACCCCAAGGTGCTACAGCACTCAGGTTGAGAATCACTGTCTAGGAAACTATTTATCTGAAATACAAAACCACAAACAATGAGAGGCCATTATGCGATTGTGATTCACTCTAATGAGATCTGTAGTTATCATGGGGAGGTAGTGTCAGACCCCATATTCAGGTAGGATATGCTCTTTTGGGAAGAATAAGATAGATGACCTAAATCACTATTTGTGGTTGTGACAGGGGGTCTTCCTGGGGCTAGATCTTGTGATAGCCTGCCCACCTGCCTAGGGCAGTCTTCCCTGTCTCACCTGCCATGACTTGAATGTTAGCATAATATATTAAGTGGGTGGCTGCCCATTCACTACCCTGATGTCAGGAGGTGGTATCCATGCCCATGTCTCACAGATGGCATCCAGATTATTGTTGCTCCCTGGCTTCAGGCTGGGACAGACTCAGTACACTGCTGGGCCTCTTTCACACTCAAACTTACTCCTCCACCCTCTCACAGGGGCCTCTTGCGCTCCACCCTTCATTGGGCCATTCTTTACTGTCCTGCTCTGTTGAGCATCCCCACTCAGCCCTCAGGGTCTGCTACTCTCACTCTGGCTCACCACACACAGCAACTTCAGTTAGCTCGAGCTCCTCTACTCTATGTGGCCTTTCCTTGTGCCAAACACTGGGCTGACTCTACCCCTAGCCCCACACTGGGCAATTTGATCCTCATCTCACTCCTGGGTCTGGCCCATGTACTGCCTTTCAAACTGCCTCTCACAGCCCTACTCAGTACACCCCTGGTGCAGCCCTTCAAACCGCCCTCAGCACCCCTACTCTGCACCCCACACATGCACAGTCCTTTGAGTGCCTCTCTGTATGGACCTCCATACTAATATTACCTGCCTTGGGGCCTCTGGGGTATCATACCCCTGCTGGGCTCAGCTGCCTCTCTATAGACGTGCCTAGCCCCACCCCACTCTCACAATTACTCACCAAATGGTGGGGGTCAGGGTTAAGGTGCCCCTACCCACCTTTCACTGGGAGGGAAGGAGGGGTAACTGATTTGGTATTTCTTGGGGGCTGTCCTGCCAGACCCCCCTTACCTGGCAGGGTGCAGTTTCATGTCATGCCCAGGACCAGGAGCCTCCTGCCATCCCCATAGCTTCTGCCCTTACCTCCAGGTTGTTCCAGGAGCAGTGGCTCAGCTGGCTGATGTTACTCCCACGGCTGCTAGCAGCAGACTGCTATCCCAGCCTGTGTGTGCTGGGTCCTAAAATGGCTGCCTTAATCAAGCATCTGCTGGCTGCCTGCCATCAGCCCCTAAGGTGGCAAGCACCCAAAGGTGCACTGCCACAATGGCCTAACTCATTCTTTAAAGAAATAAGAGGGAAATGGATCTCTCCATTCATGGAAAATTTTAAGGGCTGGGCTAATGAAGAAAAAACAATTTGGCTCCTCTCTAAGAACTTACAGCCTGTCCTATACTCTGTAGGTGCATTTGTGTTACTTGCTCAAAGAATAAGGGCCAAAATCGTATTGAATTCCTTGTTTTTATTTTTTTTATTCTACTATTTTATATTTCTTAGTTTTATTTATTTTTATGTATCATATACTATGTCTAATTTTACTTTTGTTTAAATTTGAAGAATGTGTAATTGTATTGTATGTTTTTACCAATAACCACGAATCATGTAGTTATTATTACTGTTACTAACAACAATAACAACAACAATAATAATATTTCTACTGTATCATTTAAGTAAAAGCCATTTAAGTTTAAGTTGTAAACTACTACAACTTAAAGTCCCAGATGCTGGAATTAAACCATTAGGTGAGAATCAAATTTGTCCTGAAAAAAATGAAAGTACATTTCTAGCCTTCATCTTTTTCGAGAAAACGTCAAAATCATCAGTGCTCCAGCATTAAGAGGCAAGCAGGAAAGGCCCATATTTTTAAAATGAGTTTTTAAGTCCATCTGACAATTTTTAGTTTGACTAATGGTTTTTGAATGCTCAATGCTTGTGTTCTGCAACTCATTGGTTCTACCAGCTGGTGGTTTCAATGAAAAGTTGGTACCAGGAAACAGGACCCCAGTGGTGCTGAGAGCAGGAAAGTGAACAGAACAAATCCCTGCCACAAACACTACTTTGGGTCCTCAAACCACATTTGTTGCACACGTGAAGCCTCTCCTGAAGGCAGTGGGACTTTGTATACATAAGGAATACAGGATCCCCTGCAATCTGTGAGTGCATGCCCTACTATATAGGAGGTGACTTTCATAGTCAGATAAAAGTATTAAGGCTCAGAGCACCCAAATGCAAAACTCTCTATCATATCCTAGGGTGGTCCTACAGCAAGTGCAGGGGCCTGGCTCACATACACTCTTTAGCTAGTCCTCATACTAACTGCTTTGCTTTTAATTACAGCCTCCACAGGGTCTGTGACCCAAGTGTCTTCAGTGAACACTGACTCAGCAGGCTCCTCCTACTCCATTAGTGGAATTCTGGGAATTACATCCCCCAGTGCCGAAAGCAACAAACGCAAACGAGATGAAGGTAAACGAGGCTCTTTTGTCTTTGGTGGGTAGTGGTGGAGTTGGATTTTTTTTTTTGCTTTCTGCCTTCCTTTAGATTAACATGGCTAACTACCTCTATGCTGTTGTGTGGTATGACTTGATTTTGGAAGTCTTGGGATAATGGGCAGTATGTCTATCTTCGGCAAATTCCTGATGCTGCACATCTAATGGGTTCACTCTTGCAGATTTATAAGGTGTATTAGGCAGTCTGGTAAATGGCTCATCAAATATTTCAACATTGCGGATTTTTTTTCTATCTTAACTATTCCCTAGGAAATTCCATTAACTACCCCTTCCCCAAGAGAAAGCTACTGTTTCTCAGTTAAAATGCATGCAGAGAAGAACAAAGCTGCTACACTTCTGTCTTTCAGGTCATAGGGAAATGTATCATATCACACTATATTATTTAAGGGAGAAGAGCATGTGATTATTTCAATATGGGCTGTGTCATATTTGTATGTGCAAGGGACCATAGTTAACTGGGTCTTTTCCTGACTTTTGAGAGCTCAATTTCACATGCTTCACATATTCTTCATGTATTTTTTGACATATGTCTCTCTCAGTATATATTGAGGGCAAGAGATCTCTATGTCTGTAGATCACTGATAACTAGATACACTGACTTGGTAACAATTGTCCACGGCTCTTGTCTTCAGTGTGGATTGGATGGTGAAGTGGCATGGGCTCTCTCCCTAGCACTGCATTCGGTATTCAGTGTGATTCATTACCTTTCTGTTCCCCTCACTCTTGACATTTTTTAGCAGATGTCACCAGTCTTTAACCCAGTAGGTTGCTTGCCTGATAGCAACAGGGGCAAACCAAATCAGACAATCTTTATTGGTTTATATAGCTGAAGGTGTCATTTTTTTTCCCTGTTGCAATATGGACTTGGAGCAGATGTGCCTTAGTAGGGGACCAGTTGCTTTCACTTACAGTTAAAGGACAGACTATTGGAGATTGACATAAGAAACAGACTGCACTGTAACTAGAGTGTGGCTCACTAAAGAGAAGTGCAATCAGCTTTTTGAGTTTAAAGGAGCAGACACTGCTGGACAGCAACCTTGCTGTTTTCTTTGCACACTCACCAGTTTAATTCTTGTTGATTCACATTCAGATTTTCCTGGAGTTTAGTGCATAGCTTGAGTGTTGCATGTGGAGCAAATGAACTTATTTTATAGCCTTCTGATGAGTTTCATTCTGTTTAGGGATGAAGGGACGGGATTGCTGGCAGGCAGTGTGAGACCCCAGTCTTGCTTATATTCCATCTTAAAGAAAGGCTTTACAAATGTCAGTATTACTAGTAGGGTTGTTGGTTGTAGCTGCATTGGTCTAAGGACACAGGCAGACAAGGCTCTTTGAGCAGATGTGATATCTTTTATTAGACCAACCTACAGTCCTACCCAACCAACTAAATAGTTGGAAAAATTGTTCTTTGCAAGCTTTTGGGCACAAACACCCTTCTTCAGGCCTAAGGAGAATCTGTTTATTACTCATAATGAATTGCTTTGAATTAAGGGCTTTAGACTTTAGAGTTTGCATTTAGAGTTTCCTTGGGATGCTTGGAAATGGTGATTAGAAGATGTCAGATTAAGAGGAGGAGTTCACCAATGCTGGATGCTGTCAACATATTTCTTGGTGTTGTTGAGTGGTGCAGCGTAATACTGTCCTTTGAGGCAGGACAAAGCTTCAAGAAGAAGAGAAGGGAAAAAGAAGAAATGTCTCAGAAAGGAATTTGTGTTGCTAAGTAGGCTTATCACCATGCAAGCAAATGAATATGGGCATTGGCCCTTTAGACAGTGCATATAGGAGATGTGCTTGCATGTTGCATACAGGGTGTGTTTGACTAGCATTCATGTATGCTGAACAAAGCATGTATGTACAGCATGTGTGCATGTAGTGTGCAATATGTGTTTGTGCAGTGTTCCCTTATGCTGTGTGTGGCAGGTGTGTATGTGCAGTGATGGTGTGTGTGGAACTCATCAGGGCTACATCCCTGGAGTGCTCTGCATGCTACAGATGACTAGACTTAAACAAGAAATTCAAGAATTTTGGAACAAGAAATTCAAATGGGAGCTGGGACTCTTTCCAGTCCAACCATGCAGCTCTTTGTGGGTCAGAAGGCTTTTAAATCATGTTTCAAAAAGAGAGATCCTCTTTTCTCTAGTACTTTGCAGAAGGCAAGGGTTGTAACATCCCCTTCCTTCCTCTGGCTGGAGTGGAGAGCAATCTGGGTGACACATTTGCCTAAAGAGGAGGCAGAGAATGCATCTTAGGACGGGCACCACTACTCCCTCTGCTGGCAGTTGGGTGGGAGCCCCAGAAACCCCTGAGCCAGGCTTCTGCTCTTACTGCTGTTTCCACTGCTTTCCCACCTCAGTCATGGGAGAGGGGAAGTACTGGGGAGCACAGGAAAGAGTGCCCCTATTTCCCTTTTCCCTTAATCACTGTGAGTCACCTCCTGACAACAGTCCTTGGTTTTGACAGAAGAGCCTGCAAGTGAAAACGGCTGTGCACAAAAATAGCTTATTCCCATTGCATAGTGCACACAAAGCATGCACATGTCCCTGCGCAAAGGCACATTTGATTTTGGGAACAGTTGAATGGTCCTGGGTGCTGAGCCTAAGAAAGTAGTTCCATTGTCCTTACCTGGGTGCAAGCTAACTTCTTTCTTAGGGAACCTGGCCTGAGCAAATTCTGCAGAATCAAGCCTGCAATTTACTGCGTCCCTTTAAGATGGTTTCAGCAGCAAAGAAGGCTGTAAGGAAAGGATGGGTCAGAACAATATTAGCAAGCCCACAGGCAAGTCACTGGTGAATATGTGTTATGCTTCCCCCACTTTGTAGTCCACAGAGGACATACTGGTGAGTTGTTATAGTCCCCAGCTTCAGGGGCTTTGGCTCAGGCTATAGCAGGCAGTCCTTTCCGCTCCAGAGGTTCTTGGTCCCAGCTCTAGCATAACATCCAAGAGGACAGCTGTCAGGGAAAGTCAGGAGAGAACCAAATCTCTTCTCACTGGCTCAAAGACGTGGTCTCCATCAGGGCTGCATGAGTTTGCAAAAAGCTATTGGAAGAGTCCAGAGGTCTCTTGTCACAGGTGCAGCCCCTCTGGGGGCAAAGCACTGGTCAGAGAAATGGAAATAAAATGCAAGACCTGTTCATTATATCTGTCCAGGAATCAGTTCAGTTGCTACCCATAGACTCTAGTGGGATTCTGATCAGATTCCCAGAAACATGCCATCCATGTGATCCAGCCCACGCTGATGTCAAGAGAAAGATTCTCCATGTGACCCTAGTGCTTAGTCCTTAACCTTTTTAGATGCACGACACCCCTTGTTAGATCCAAGGCACTCCTTGGAAAATACCAGCTCTTAGTTTTGATTTGTTTCTTGACTATGGAAAAATAAAAAAGCAATTTTTCTGTTGCAAAGAACTCAGAAAGACCACAGCAGGTCAGAATATTTTTGACACTATGGATTCCTACCTGAAATCTCTAGGTTTATCTTGTGACTCACATGTAAGTGTTTGCACGCCTAAGAGTGCTAATATTGAGTAGCATCCTACATAACCCTTAAAAGGTTCTCATGCAGTATGTAACCAGCCCTACTTGCAAAGGAGTGTCCTACCTGCCACTGTCAGAGACACAATACAGGACTTAATGGATCCAGCATAGTACTTCTTTTGTTCTTATGTTCTTAAGTCCAGATGCCTGCTAGGTAATCCTAGCAGTGCATGACCTGGGAGCAATAGACAGGCTGAAATCTCTTGGCACAGCATATTCATGGAGTAGTTTCAGAGAATGAACATATTCATAGGTAATGTGCCTGTCCACAGACAGATGATAGACAACAACAAACATTTAGCACCAGCTGGCAATGTGGTGAGGGGAGTAGTGACAGGATATGGCCTGGCATTATGAAAAGGCACTGTGCAGGAGGTACAAATACATCCACCCTCTTATCTTTTCTTCCTGCAGAAAAGGTTTGGCAGATTTAACTATATATTCCTTTTTCCTACCAGCTGTGTGGACCATATTTCTAATTCACCAGTGCAGTAGTTTCTCAGTGGTAGACATGTTTTGGGAAATGAAACCTACCTAACAGGAGACTTTTGCTCACACTCACACAGTGTGTTTGTTTCCATTCTTACCATGCATTGTGTTGTGTTATTACTATCTTCCAGTGCTGGTGATGTTGATATAAATGTACTGTATTCTGAACTGGGCATCTGAAAAATGCCTGTCCTTTGACACCTGCTCATTGCATTTAGAAGTTTCTGGGTCATGAACTTTTGTTTTGAAAGGTGAGCATTTTCAGTGGCAAAGATTCTAAAGAGAACCAAAAGGAAACTGGGAAAATGCAGCTTCATGTCCTTCACCACCTTCCTCACCAACACTGCAGTCAGCACACACAAGAGATTTTGTTTTCCAATAGTGGTGCAGATCTTTAGGTGCTTAAATAGAAGCAGTCTGATTGGCAGTGCTGTGGTGGATCTACAGCGTCTATGGACATCATTGGTAGCTGTTGTTGCCCATCACCTTGGGGAAACAGGCTGTTTTTTAATAGGTGGCCATCTTCAGACTTAGGTGTCTAACTTAAAGCACCTTAGTGTGAAATTGGCAGTCAGAGTTCTTTACATTTTTCAACACCCAGTAGATATTCATTTATTGTAGTGTTATGTTACAAAAAGACAGAGCCAAAACTCATTGCTCTAATGACTCTTCTGGGGTGCAGTCAGACAAGGGAAACCAAGGGTAGGAAAAGTGAACCCCAAGAAGTTCTGCATTGCTAATCCTGGTAAATAGGGCTGTGTGTCCTGTGTCCCACAGAGCTGTGGGAAGGGTCCACAGAGACCTGTTGATTTTATACAGGAACATATTGTCCATAGCTCCCTTCAGGCAGGGACTGGCAAATAGATGTTTTGTGGTCTTACTAACTGATCAAGGTCTGTCTTCTGGTTTCGTGTAGTCTGGGAGAAAAATCT